TCCTGCCGTGGCTCCAAGTGGTGTGCTGTGCACCCGGTCTCCGGGACCTGGGAGTTAAGAATCCTCATTTTCCTGAGCCTCCCCCGTGTCTCCTCTCACAGCTGCACCTGACTGACCATCTCAGAGAAGAGCCCAGATCACACTCAGATCGTTCTAGCCTTGACCACTGACTTCTAGATCATTCTACCCTGGTCTCATAACGTACTCTGCAGTTCTATTCTTCGAATCTTCGTCAGGTGTCTTTTAGGGCCCAGAATGTGGTCTGTCTGCTAAATGGGCCATGACCGCTTGAGCAGGGTGTGGTCTATTTTTCCCTTTGCTGTGTCTTCATGGAGAATACCTTCATCACGACGGACTGCCCTCCACATTCCCAACAGCTTTTCTTGCTCTGAGGTCTGCTTTGTCTGGCATTCACGTTGCTAACCCAGCTCCGCGTTGGGCTGTGTGAGCTCAGGAGACCCTTCCCCATCTCTTCACATTCAGCTGTCTGGGTCTTTCTATAAGGACAACACACAGTAGGGTCTTGCTTTTATCTTTGGTAACAATCTGCTTTTAAGTTGTAGTATTTAGATCATCACATTCAAAGTGGTGCCCGCGGCTATTGGTTTAATTTCTGCCACGTTTGGACTGTTTCTACTGGTAGCGAAGTCCCCGAGTTTTGTTTGCGTGAGAATGTCTTTACTTCTCCATAACATTTGGAGGATCATCTCACCAGATATAGAATTCTAGGTTACTAGCTTTGTCAGTTTTTCCCAACATTGGATACCCCTCACTCTCCCCTCACTCTCTCCTCGGCGGCGCGGTTCGGACGAGAAGTCCCGTGTGGTTCTCACGATTGTCCATGTACACGTGAGGTGCTCCCCCCTCGGACCGCTTTCAAGATTTTCCCTTTGCCTTGGATGTTCTACCGTTTGCTTATGACGTGCCCACACGTGGTTTTGTGCCGTTATTCTTGTTTGATGGACAGTGAGCTTCCCAGATCTGTGGTTTGGTGTTTGCAGCTAATTTTGGAAACTTTGTACTTCAGATGTCTTCTGTATCTCTCTCTCTTCTCCACATACCTTAGGCCCCTGACATTACCCAACCGTTCTTAGACACGGTGTTCTGCTTCCTGTTTGCATTCCTGGAGCCTAAGCTTGGAAAACTCCTGCGGACACATCCTCCGGCCCACGCATCCTCTCCCCACCGCACCCGGCCTGCTAATCCCTCCAAGACGCTCTTCACGCTGCCGTGGCCCTGATTTCTCACCTCTCCTTCTGGTTCTTAAAGTTGCTGTCGCTCTGCTCACATTACTCACGTGTGTTTGCACGTTGTCTGTTTTTTCCCGGGGAGCCCTCCACGTAGTCATGGCCATTTCAGATTCCCCGTCCGATAATTCCAGCATCTCTGCCTGTCTGGGTTTCATTCCAATGCTTCTTTTGTCCCTGCAGGTGATTTAACCTCCGTGCTCCCTAGCCTGCCTTGGAGTTTTGGATTGGAAGAGGACGTGATATGTGCAGTAACAGGAGCTGAAATACGTAGAGTTCCAGTGAGGTTTTGGGCTCTCTGGCTGGGGCTCAGGCTCGGTTTACCTTTCACAGCACCTCAGGTGTCAGAGCTCCCGCTGTCCGTTGCTTTGGGGTCCCCTTGTGCAAGAGTCTGCACCTGGTAGCTGTTCCCAACTGCAATCCCAGGCTATGGTAACAGAGCTCTAGACGTGGAGGTCAGGCCGGCGAGGGGACGCACAGCAGACTGGTACATCCACTGTCCCTTACTACGTATGCATCCCTGGGCTGTGAGCCTCCTGAGTCTCCCTCAGTTTTATCCTCCCTCCCCGAGACAGGGTGACAAGAGGGGCAGAGGGGCTGAGGGTAGGGAGGTTTATTGTACCGGGGTCTGAGAAAGCTCAGTAGAACCCCCTCCCTTGCGAAGCAGCCCCGGCAGAGATGGATCTGGGAGGGTGCAGAATGTTTACTTTCCCCTCCGCCTGCCAGAGACGGGGGGTCGGTGTTTCCCTTGGCTCTTCACAGTGAGAACCTGCTGAGGCTCCCGTGGGTACAATCGACAGAAGTGTGGGCCCCCCGCGTCTGCAGCCCCCAGGACCTCCTCACGTCCACCCTGGCTGTGATTTCTCAACAGCCCGGCCTGTTCCCGGGGTTTATGGCTCCGGGCTTTCTGCCCCAGGCGGCGACTCTGAGTCTCTGAATTCACCTTTTATCCCAATCTCGGGGTGATGTGTTGTCCTCTGCCCTCAATTCCCTGATGGACCCAAGAGAAGTTTGTACGATTGCGTGTGTGCGTGCGTAAATCTGTGCACTTTGGGCTACATGCCCAAGCGTCTTCTATGTTGGAGCTGAAAAGTGAACGTTTTGGAACTCCATCCTCGTAGACTTGTTAGCTGGAACTCGCTCTGTGGGTTATTTTATTATTTCTGCAGCCGCTGTGGGGTTTGTAGGACACATCGCCAGCTCTTCACCCTCCAAATCAATGAGAGTTAGAAAGAAACCCACAGCAGTGCTCATGCCAGCCTTTGGGCCACTATCGTATATTTTACATCTTTGCTCGTGACACACCGCGCAGTAGGCTCTTCCGACTCGTGAGCGGCCGGTCATCTTCCAGGGAGAACACAAGGACAAGGACAACGCCGTCGCGCTCACTCAGACCTGATCGCTGAGTCCTGTCACTTCCCAGATCCCGGTCTCCGGGTGCGCATCTGCCCGCCGCGGGCTTCTGCCTTCCTGCGTCAGAAACCATATTGATCTCTCCTTGGTTTTGCAGGACATTTTCACGGGGAAAAAGCTTTCTGTGTGAATAGATGTCTTTCTCCTTTCAGTGCCTGAAGGATGTTTACGGACACCTACGGCACATGATTTTGGTAAGAAATTATCACAGCTGAAGACCAGTGCTCTCTGGCTGAGCTCCTCTGAATCTAAAATATATGTATATTTTTCCTGTTTATCGTCTCCTCATCGAGTGTTCTTAAGCAATTCGGTGCAGCTTTGTCCATATTCCCTGTGCTCAGGATCCTCTGAGCATCCTGGGTCTGTGTGTTTACAGTTTTACTCATATTTGGAAAAATCGTGGTTATTTCCTCAGATATTCTCCTTGCTGCCCCGCCCCCCCACTTCGGCTACTTCAATCACATGCATATTTGGCTGCATGAAGCTGTTCCGTGCTCACTGATGCTCTGTTCACCTAATCTTTCTTCGACTTCTTCATCTTCTAGATTTTTAAATAGTTTCGTTTTAGTTTCTTAGGGCAGCTGTGACAAGTGACCACAAATCGAGTGGCCTGGAATCAGAGATGCTTGTCTCTCATTTCCCGAGGTCAGTGTTGACTGGGCCAGGCTCCGTCCGGCGGCTCCGCGGAAGGTCGGCCGTTCCAGAGCAGGTGGGGAACAGGTGTGGGGCCCCTTCACCTGGCTCCCGAACCTCAGGTACCACTGCTCACAGTTGCCTGATGTCCAGTGTCTGCAATGCCAGTGGATTTTTGCACTTTATCCAGTTTTTTAGTTCTTCCAGATGGAAAGGCTAATCTAATCGGTCAGAAGCAGAAGCCCATCAAAGGGTCTCAAGCAGGAGCAGGGACCTAATGTGTTATTTCTATTTTGGAAAAATCGCCTTCCCTGGAAGCATGAAGCGGGGGTCAGATGGTGAATTTCCAGAAGCAAAGAGAGAAATCATCACTGCAGGTTCTGGGCAGCAACGTGGGAGTCAGACCAGAATCTGGGCGTGGACGGCGGAGAGGCCTGGCTGGAGCGCGAGCCCGTGGGGGAGCGAGCAGGAAAAGCGGCGTCCGAGGCCATCCGCACGCACAGCAAAGCTGGGTTTACTCCCTCACTGAGGCTCCCGGACGCACGGGCTCTCAGTGTCCACCAGACAGCCCCCAGAGACGTTTGCAAGTAAGATCTGGTCTGAAGATGCAGGCGTGGGAAACCATGAGTAGTTAGGGGCCAAGGATGGGGATAGGGGATCCTTCAGCATGCAGAGTGAAGACGGTGGGCAAAGCAGGGTTTGGGGACCGAGCCAACACTCTGGGGCGGCCGAGGCCCAGATGCTACTGCCAAGCTCCAGCAAGGTTACCCTGAGCAGCAACTACGTACCGCCACGAAAACAGGAAAAATACTCCAGATAATACCCCAAATAGATTTAATAACGGTGATTAAATCACATCTGAAAGCATTGTTGATGTCTACGAACTTCGGTCATTTTTAGAAAGAACACTATTTCCAGTAAGAATGAGAAAGGTGTGTGTTATCCACAGCGGCGGGGACGCTGTCCCGGGCCACGGGACACGGCGTGGGTGGTCCGCACACTAGCAGGAGGCCTGGGAGGACAGGGGTAACAGCGAGTGCCCTCCCCCGGGAGCAGGGTCCCCACCACAATTTTACGAGGTAATGACTATTCCTACTTCTTAGATTCAGACACTGAGAATCAGGCCAATCCAGGCCAACGAGCCCCAGGCTTGTGGCTTTCCCGCTGAGCCCCCTGCCACGGGTGGACGGTGGTACCCAGCCCCACACGGGCAACCGAAGGGGGAGACTGGAATTTTTCTCTCTTTTATGAGAGACGACAGCGAAGCTTAGATCAGGTGAGCTGCCTCCGTGGGAGGCAGGTGTCCCCAAGCCACACCCTCACTATCGCTGTATTTTGTCAACCAACCCAGATGGCCAATGTTTCAGCACCTAGTTCCAAGAAAACTGAGGATTCTGGAAAAAAAAAAAAAAAAAAAACCCATACCTACGATCTCAGATCCCCATGCGGGAAAACGAGGGTTAATGTCGACGAAGATGAGGTGTTTCCTTGGAACAGCCTGGAAAGAACGTTCGTGGTGATCTGAACAGCCCGGCACACCCTGCTCGGGACAAGATAGCTGAGCCGATAAAACCAGATTCCTAACACGAATTTGCTCTGTCCCAAAGAATGTATATGTGTGTTCTCCACCCTTCTACTCTAATAAAAATTAGAGCAAAAGCAGGACCTCCTCTGCAAAAGGAAAAACAATCATAGTTACATGTTGATTGCGAGAGTTGGTGGAAGCGGGGGGACACTGTCCTAAGCTGGAAAGTGCAGGCTTCACCATGTCGTCCTCCAAAACCCCAAGCATGTCAACTCCCCCAACACGACGGTTTCACCGTCGCAAGATTTCCGTGGAGGTGGGATCCGAGGTGGCGAAGCACCTGGACCGCGGGAGCACACATCACCACTCGGTGCGGCTCGGCAGTTCAGACAATCTCCATTCTCCACGAGTCTGAGCGGTGGCGTAACTTAATTTTAGGGGTTAGCGTAGAGTGCGGGGAGGTGTTTCGAAGCCAGCAACACAATCGACAACAAACATGGTGAGCTACGTGAGCACCTCCCTTTCAGCCAGACGCGCAATCCAAAATCCAGCCCGGGCAGCGCCTTTCAGGTGATGTCAAATCTGAAACGTTTTTTAAAATAGTATTTAAAATAGTTCTAAAATTATTATGTATATATGATTACATATGTATTATTAATATTATTTTAAAGCTATTTTAAAATTATTAAATATTTAAGTACTTTTAAAATAATATACTTTAAAATCATAAATATTTTTTACATTTTTTAAAATGTGCTATGTTCCAGGAGCAGGTGTCCAACTCTGACGACGATGCAGACACGCCAAAGCCCGGGCAGGTGGAGAGGCCGTCTCCTCGGAGAGAGAGCCCTGCCCCTCACCCCCTCGCCACGGGGGAGGGCAGCTCTCAAAGGCGAGATAAGCAGAATTCCACATGGCGACTGGCCACCGCGTGGCCAGGGGTGAGGAGTCACCTGAGACACGGGACTGAGTCCTGAACAAGTGAGGGGAGTTGATCTCTTTCTAATTTGACCCTGGGGGTGTCCAGCAGGCTCGTTGTACTGACTTAACGCTGCCAGCCATCTTGCCATATTCCCAACACTGTTCTCCAAACGTCCTAGGATTTCACTGGGTCCTTTCCCCAACTGGTGACACCTTCTGGTCACTGAAAACGTTCAGCCATCAGAAGAGGATCCCTTTGGGATCTCCTGCCTCACACATGAGCCCAGGTGCTCTGCCCCTGCCCCTGATCACCGTGCTCCCCTCCACCTGGCACCACACCCACCCGCCCGTGATCACCGTGCTCCTTTCTACCTGGCACCACACTCACCTGCCCGTGGTCACCGTGCTCCCCTCCACCTGGCACCACACCCACCTGGCAGTTAGACATCTGTGAGTGATTCTCTCTAAGCCTTTCTCATCAGCACATAAACATGCTCTCTCACCTGTACACACCAGGCCACGTGTGTGCATATGGGATCCAGCGCTCCATGCCAGCCTTCTCCCCATTTCTCTCCTTGCCTTTGAGAAACCTCTCCTAATGTCCTCCTCCCATTCTCTAGTGACATTCCAGTTGTCCCCAAAGGGCCGGCCTGAATGACCGATGTGTTGCTGCCTCCAGCGACCAGCTCTGTCTTCCTCCCAGGTGCCGCATGTGACGCAGGAACTCCATCCCTGCTCCTGAAAAACTCTCTGAATTGGCTGCTATGAGGGATGCTAATCTTACCTACCTCAGGTAAAAAGCACCCAGTTCGTGTACAGCGCTATGTTAAATAGTTTGAATGGTATTTTTATGACATAAAACATATTTTCTGCAGCCAGCCTGTAGACTTTCTACGCATGCTGCCGGCTAGTCCTCGTCTGCTTTGCAGGGAAGAAAACATCTGAAAGATCACATTAACTTCTGAATTGAGAATCACTTTTGCAAATTAAAATGGCCATAAAACTCCCTGGTCGCTTTCAGGAGAAATTCTTAGATCCTGATGGAGTTTTTATCAGCAGCTTGGGGAAAGCTTCTCCCACTGATGAACATTTTATGATGACAATAACAGAGGAAGGTAAGATTGAAGTTCGAGGAGACTCCGTGAGTCACACTGCTCCATTACTGTTCACCCCCAACCTGTATCCTTGTGGTAAAGTAAGGACAGACCCAGAACATCACATAGTTAATACGCGCCCAGGATGGGACCAGAGACTCAACTTGGTTCCTCGTTCTGATTCCGCCCCGTCCTCCAGGACATCTCCCGGCTCCAAGGCAGGGGATGAGACTCCTGTCATTCTGCGCAGCCTAGCCTCTGTCTGCACACTGATAGCATCGATTGCTTTCAGCCTGGGGTGGGTTGTGCTGATAAATTGATCTGTCAGCTTGACCAGGCCACCGTGTCGAGGTTTGCTCAAACACAAGTCTGGATATTGCTAGGATGACATTCTTCAGACATGATTAATACATCAATCAGTAGACTTTCTGGAAAACAGAGCGAGATGATCCTCAGTCATGTGGGCGGACTGCATCCAATCAGTTGAAGGACTTAAGGGCAAGACTGCGGTTTCCAAAAGAAGGAGGAATTCTGCCTCAGGACTGTGGCACAGAAACCTGCCTGAGCCCCTGGCCCTCAGTCCTGCTGATTTCAGGCTGGGACTGCACACAGCACCAGCTCCTTACATCTCCCTCCGGCCAGCCAGCTCCACAGACTTCAGACTTCCTGCCCCCATGACCAGGTGGGCCAATTCCTTAAAATAAATATCGTCAGGGACGCCTGGGTGGCTCAGTCGGTTGAGTGACCGACTCTTGATCTCAGCTCAGGTGTTGATATCAGAGTTGTGAGTTCAAGCCCCTAGTTGGGCTTGGCGCTGGGCATGGAGCCTGCTTAAATACATACATACAGGCTAAAATTAACAAGTCAGGAAACGACAGATGTTGGCGGGGATGCGGAGAAAGGGGAACCCTCCTACACTGTTGGTGGGAATGCAAGCTGGTGCAGCCACTCTGGAAAACAGTATGGAGGTTCCTCAAAAAGTTGAAAATAGAGCTACCATACGATCCAGCAATTGCACTACTGGGTATTTACCCCAAAGATACAAATGTAGGGATCCGAAGGGGTACATGCACCCCGATGTTTATAGCAGCAATGTCCACAAAGCCAAACTATGGAAAGAGCCAAGATGTCCATCGACAGATGAATGGATAAAGAAGATGTGGTATATATACACAATGGAATATTATGCAGCCATCAAAAGGAACGAAATCTTGCCATTTGCAATGCCGCGGATGGAACTGGAGGGTATTATGCTGAGCGAAATAAGTCAATCAGAGAAAGGCATGTATCATATGACCTCACTGATATGAGGAATTCTTAATCTCAGGAAACAAACTGAGGGTTGCTGGAGTGGGGGGGGGGGTGGGAGGGATGGGGTGGCTGGGTGATAGACACTGGGGAGGGTATGTGCTATGGTAAGCGCTGTGAATTGTGCAAGACTGTTGAATCTCAGATCTGTACCTCTGAAACTAATAATGCAATATATGTTAAGAAAAAAAAAAAAGAAGAATGTAGCAGGAGGGGAAGAATGAAGGGGGGATAATCAGAGGGGTAGAAGAACCATGAAATACAGTGGACTCTGAGAAACAAACTGAGGGTTCTAGAGGGGAGGGGGATCGGGGGATGGGTGAGCCCAGTGATGGGTATTAAGGAGGGCACGTTCTGCATGGAGCCCTGGGTGTTATGCACAAACAATGAATCATGGAACACTACATCTAAAACTAATGATGTAATGTATGGAGGTTAACATAACAATAAAAATTTTTTAAAAATACATACATACATACATACACACATATCTCTGTCTCACTCTTTCCCCGTTTCCCTCTTTAGCATGGTTTCTCTCTCTTTGCATGGAGACACCTGTGTGTGAGTGTATATTACGAATGTGCGTCCTTGGGTGGGAGTCCTAGGCACACAGATATCCGATGGGCTCTCACTTGCTGGAGAGCCCTGACCAATGCAGCTGGCATTGTGTGTATAAAGATGTACTGAATACATACATATCTGTGCCTCCTCAGCTTTGTGTGAGGGCAGGTTCCCTGGGACCTTCAGGACGCAGCGTTACTGGAGAACGCTCCTGGGATCCCCAGCGAGAGGGCTTGCACACAGTGAAGGCAGGGTTGGAACTGTGCTGTGGTCTCAGCGGCCTCCAGAGCTGCGTGCTATGAGGCCGGGGCCAGGCCTGTGTACCCCTGACTGTCCGCTCCCATCTCGGGGTGGGGGAGCCCAGGAAAGAGGGAGGAGCTCCGGGCTGGGTTGGCAGCTCCGCATCCTCTCGACCACGGGGAGCCTGCGTGGGGGCAGCGTGGTTGTCCCCCAGCAACCTCCGGAACATGTTCGGGTTCCAGTGCCCCCCGAGAACAGAAATGTGAGCTGACTTATTTAGCCATTTCTTAGAAACTTCAAAAATCCTTTTTCCAAATAATTCTGGATGCTCAAATAGAAAACAGTGCGGGGAGTTGGTATGCCTTCACCCAGCTTCCCCGAATGTCAAGGTCTTCCGTCATCCCCCGAGGACAGTGCAACACTGGTACCTGAACACCCGCTTTCCTCGGCTTCCTCAGATGTCCCACAGAAGCTCATCACCGGTTTAGGACACTGATGAGGATACCCGAGGATACCCCCCCTACGTGTTGTCCTGACCTGTCAGTCTGGAAGGAGGAAGCGCAGCAGTTAAGATGATTTCTTCAGGAGATGGCCACGGGAGAACACGCATCAGTGAGGACAGCCACGCAAGGGGGGAGGGGGCAGGGGTCTCCTAGAGGCCGGTGGAGGGGCTCGGAGCCACCACGGAACGGGGGTGAGCCCGCGTCCGGGGACCAGGCTGGCAGGCTCCTGGGAAGGGGCTCAGGTGAGGTCAGCAGCCCCGCCTCGTGTGCGACCCTCCGTCTCTCCTCGTTCTCCGGACCTGTGGGCACTGTCCCGTGTCCTCGCAGGGTCAGAGCAGCGCGCGGGTTCGCGACGGACACGCTGGGGTGACGTGCCCTCCCCTCCCGTGGGGGCCTGTGATGTCGACGCCATTCAGTGCGGCCATGTCACAGGCCCCGGGCGCTGTCCCCGCACCAGCTGTCCGGCAGGCACCACGTGGGCTCCGAGCGCTCAGATTTGAGGGAAAGCCCCGCTGCCTGGAGGAGGCCCCCAGCCCACAGGGGAGACAAGTGGGCTCGGGCTCTGGGGCGGGTTCCCTGTGGGGACCCCTGCCAGCCCATCACTCCCCACGTGGTCGCTGCCGCAGACACCCGAGGGGTCCGTGTGCCGTCCCCAACGGCTCCCGGCGCTGTGTCCTGGGCAGACGGCCTGCAGGCTGTGGGAGTGGAGAGCAGCGTTCAAAGGGAAAGGAACAGAAAACAGAGACGTGCTCTGTGTCCGTGGCTGCATCGGGGCGAGCTCGGAGTCCGGATGGACGCAGGCGGGATTACCAGCCCCAGCACAGGTGGGAACGCGCACTGCGGGAGGCTCGGCTGGGCCCCGACCCCGACGTTCCCAAGCCCTAAAGGGCCCTTGTGTGCACGGGGTTCGATGTCTGTCATAAGAAAAGAGTGAGAACCCAACCAGGGACTGTGGGGGACGTCCTGGCTCCTCCCGTCCGCCCCCTGTAAGCACCTGCCGCATCACGGCCCTCCGTGTGTGTTCACCGCTCCTCCCGATCTCAAGCCTCAGCCCGACGCCGCTCCCAAGGTCCTGGCTTCCCGGTCTCGGCCCAGCAACCAGAAGGCTCCCGTGAAGCAGCCTCTGACCATCACACCCGCCCGGCCCCGACATCCTCCCAAATGCCCACTAAGGAAAACTCCACCTTCTCGACCCCCCGGCCACCCGCGCCTCACCTGGCGCCCTGGCCATCCGCTCCTCGCCTCCCGCCTCCCGCCTCCATGGCTCCTCCTGCTGATGGGAATGCCGTCCCCGCCCTCCTCTGTACCCACTCCTGCTCGGCTGGGAACAGTTTCCCTTGCGCAACCTCGTCCAGGCGCCTACATTCCCCCGCTCGGTCTCCCGCTGGGCTGTCTGGGCCCTTCCGGGAGCGTGGCCTCCGGTGGCCCGCACATCTGCCGCTCATCAGCTCTGTGACCGCCTGGCAATGTCACCAACCCTCTGAGCCTCTGTGTCTTCATCCAAACACGTCAGGATAATTGTAGCAAGGGCTTTGGATGGTGGAGGAATAATTCCCACACGGGGCTCGCAGAGAGCCCGGCACAGAGCCCGTCGGCACGAGTGTGCCCGCTGGTGTGGCCGCCCGCCCGCCCCGGGCCGTGAAACCCTCGCGGGCAGCACCCGGGCCAGACTCGTCCCTGCAGCCCCTCCAAATAGCACAGTTCGGCCGCATGGTTCTTTCCAGTAGATATTCAGTGGAGGAGGGAAGGAAAAGCAAAAGCTAACTCTTTCCCCAATGCTGTCAAACTACAGCTTGTAACAGGCTCAATCGATACACTGTATCCACAAAATCCGCCTCCTGCAAAAATGTGATAGGTCACGCTGATCAACACAGAAAATATTCACATAGGTGCAGAGTCACATCTCATGGAATCAAGGGGACGGAGGGAACCTGAACAGAAATAATTACTAAACTCTGCTTTCCGATAACACGGTCTTCCCATAAACATTTATTTTAAAAATCATGAGGCAGTGGAGGAACTTCTGGGTGGAAAGATCTCCACTCTGCCAAGAAAGGCCAAAAGATTTCTAAATTCTCGATCTCTGCTGAAGAAATGTCTTAATCACTCAAACAAGCCTCTAGAAAATGCCTGTGTTCGTCCAGACACATTCCTTGATGCTAAGAGGGACTGGGGTCCGTCTGACCTTCCCTCCTGCTCCCCACGGAGGAATCGCGTGGGCTGCAGCTGCGGTAGCCACCGAGAGGCACCAACCCCAGGGACATGGCCTCGCCAGGGGCGGGGAAGTGGCCCCAAGGACAGCGTCGGGCAGCGTGTCCCCCCAAAGAGACCGTGTGCCCTGCAGAGTTCACTCCGTTTGCAAGTCTGTAGGGAATCCTGTCCCACGCCCGAACTAGCTGCTAACGCGGCCGTGTTTGATCACGCAGAAAATCACAGTCGGGCCTTCCCGGTTCAGCCTCCTCGCTATCGAGTGGACAGTGACCAGCACCAGGACGCCACGTTGTCCCTCCCCCGAGACCACCTCCCTCACCCTCGGAGAATATCGACACGGTCTCAGTTCTCCGCGAGCTCTCCCTCTTCCTCCGTGGCCCCCCGAGACAGCGGTTTATAGTCTCCTCCCAGAGTTTCGACCTTCCTTCCTTCCAGGGGAAGAGCCCTTGTCGGGGCCATGAACAGATTCAACTTGATGACAACCCACGGAAAGTGTTAGGTCTCCATCGTACCAGCCACGAGACAGCGGCTGGAGCAGCGGACATGTAGCGTCACTCGTCTAGAAGGGGCTTCGCTCGTCCGTGGCCAGGCCAGCCCCTGCATCCGACCACCCTGCCCTGCACCGGGGGAGGACTCAGCTGCCTGCTCTCTGCTCCTTATTGGGATAATAACAATTTCAGCAGTGGCATCCCCCCAAATGGAACTGCATCCCCAAGCCCCCCACCCGGTATGTGACGTGCCCTGAGGACCCCCGCCCCCAGCTGGAGCACCATCCTGGCTGGCGATGCCAAGGAGCATGCAGCCCCCGTGGGGTCCCCGGCCCTGCCCGTTCTTGCCACCTTCTGCTCCCCTGCAAGCCCCCCCGCCCCCTGCAGCCCAGGT